AGTTGTCCAGGTCATGCTGGGAGATACAGTCAGCACATCTGAGGGTACCAGCTTGGAGAAGGTTTCTCTTCCTTCCATCTTTGCATGGTCTCCTTACTCTTCTTACAGGTGCAAGAACCGGTAGTCCACGGGCCCGTGAATTTCCCTGAGGCGGAGAACACCCCGTTGGACAACACGCAGATGCCGCTGTTCAGAGGGATCGTGCAGGAGGGCGATGGTGGTCCCACCTTGCTGGGTAAGAATGGGCTGGGCATATACCAACCGTTTTCTTCTTCCCGTTGTGCCTGAGGTCCAGGGGCTGCCTTGATGTTCCCCACAAGCTTGTCTGGGGGAAGAAGATGCTTCTTTTTTTAAATACACTCTTCAAAATAAGCTTGGTTTCAATGGATGACGATGTTCTGGAAAGACAAGCCAACATAGTACCGAAAAGAGGCGTGAAGAAAGATTGATTTCACTCAAGGAGCATAACGTTAAAAACTTAAATGGTCTCCTCACCTTTTTTGGCTTCTTCGCAGGAAATGCAGCGACGCTCAGGGAGAGGGAAACGCCACTGTTGCTTCCTTCTAGGCCTTCTTCTCTTTCCGGTGCATCAGACCTGGTCGCTCTGAAGTCAAAGCAGGTAAGGGAGGGAGGGCTCCAAGGGCATAAGGCAGGGGATGGCTTCTCTGAGGACCATTTCCTGGGTATGTGTTAATAAAAGGGAATGGTTTTGAACCTTCACAAGATGCTTTGCAATTTTGGAAGGGAGACGGAGCCTCTTGAAGGAGTAAACGATTTCACATGTACCCAGTGGTCTGAGGGTGGGATGCATTATTTTTGTTATGCTTTACTATAATTTCAATTGTATGGTTTTTTCAGTTGTGTTGTATAATTTTATGGGTGTTATGATTTGAGTAATTTTTTTCAGGGATTCAATAAAGTTTAATTTTTTAAGGAATAAGGTAGGGGTCAAGAGCTGATTCCCATGGAGAAGGTCCCAGGGTCAGTTCCCAGGATTTTCTGATAGGACTGGAAAAACTCCTCTTTGAAACAACAGAGATGTGCTAATGACTGTTGATAATTCTTCTTCCCCTTTCCCCTTCTCCTTCGCTTTCCCCTTCTCCTTCTTTCCCCTTCGCCTTCCCCCCTCCTCCTCCCTCTCCCTCTCCTCCTTCTCCTTTGCCTTCCTCTTCTTTCCCCTTCCCCTTCTTTCTCCTTCCCCTTCCCCTTCTTTCCCCTTCCCCTTCGCCTTCTTTCTCCTTCCCCTCCCCCTCCCCTTCCTTCTCCTTCTCCTCCTCCTCCTTTCCCCTTCCCCTTCATTCCCCTCCCCCCTCCTCCTCCACCCTCTAGAACCCAGTGGCCTTTGAGAAGGTGGCCGGCTATTCTAGACAGGAGGAGTGGGCCATGCTAGATCCCAGCCAACGGATCCCACAGAGGGGAGAGCACGGGCTTCATGGAGGACTGCACAGGGGCGTCATGGAGGAGATGTGTGGCAACCTGGCCTCTTTAGGTAAGACTCCACTTTCCCGTGGCTGATAGATCCTGGGAGCAGGAACCACTGCTATTCCCCTTTGAGGACTTCCGAGAAGATGTCCCAAGGACAAAAATGCCAGGCCTGTGTTCTTGGGATAGTCTGTTATTTTATATAATAATTATTATTACTATTACTATTATTTATCTGGGGTATGTTCAGGCCATCCAATCACACTGAGTCTCTGGATGGCTTTCTTGTTATTCAAGAAATATATTTGTTGGTATTCCAGGTGGAGCTTCAGGGCAACGCACAAAAAATCATAAGAGCAACGCCTTAAAGACTCACCTTAAAGACTCGTTTTTTCTCGCACACACTTTTATCAACCATTGTCGTCTTCATCAGATGCAGGAAGTGCTAAGCGCAAGCACAAAACCAGGGCACAAAAGCTTATGCCCAAATAGACTTGTGAGTCTTGAGGGACCACAAAGATTTCTGCTGATTTTCCTGCAATGCAGCTATTCCCCTCTGGTTTAGCCCCATGCAACATGGCAGCCCCCCAGAGAATAAGTCGTGCGGTGTGAATTCTCAGGGCAGCTTGTTTGAAGATTAAGTCTTCCTGCAGAGAACACTCCAGGTTCAGATGATACGACATCCCACCATGGCTGGCTTCCTCTGATGAGTTGTGCTGTGGGAATTGGGAATCCATCCCTCCCTCCACCCACCCACCCATCCCTCCACCCATCCCTGATGGATACTCCTTCTTCCAGACTTGTAAGAATGTATCTTGTTGCTACATTCCTAAATGCAGAAATTACCCTGATCTTTCTTGGATATGTAGAAACAGTTGAGGGGGCTTCAGGCACGTTGTATTCCTATTGGGTGACTTGGAAGTGCCTACAGTCATCTGTGTATTTCTGTCCTCTTTACAAAGGGCTCCTGGTTCCCAGATCTGACCTCATCTCATGGCATGGAGGAAGGGGAGATCCATTTGTTGAGGGGACCATGGATCAGGAGAGATCCACAGGTGGGTATTTAAGTGTGACTGCATCATGCAATCAGGTATATCTGGCTGTGTGTTCTTCCAGAAGACAGTTTTTCTGGCTAAAAGTCACCCTTTTGCGAGATGAAATGCCCAGGGATGTGGCAATTGGGTCAGGAGTAATTTGAGTACAGACCAAGGTGAAAATAGCTATGGAATATCTTCTTGTACAGCGGTACCTTGGCTCACAAACTTAATCTGTTCTATGACTCTGGTCGTGAGCCAAATTGGTCATGAGCCAAGTCAAATTTCCCCATAAGGGTCAGTGTAAATAAGGTTATTCCGTTCTGTAACATTTTTTTTTTAATCACAAAAATTTGAAGCAAAGTGACAAAGAACAACAAAGATCACAGCCATCTTCCCACCCCTCAGCACAACCGAGATCGCGCCTGTACAGGGAAGATGGGTGCGATCATCACCTGATGCGGAGTTCATGACCTGAGTCAATTTTTTTCTGAAATTTCTGTTCGTGACCCGATTTGGTCATGAACTGAGGCATTCATGATCTGAGGTACCACTGTATTTCCTAGTTTACTGTGCGTTGTTCTTTAAGCTAGCTTTAATGTTTGATTGATTGATTGATTGATTGATTGATTGATTGATTTATATGCCACCCAATTGTGCCACAGCACAGTTCAAATCAGCAATTCATTGGGTTGGTTCCCTGATTTGAGGATCCATTCCTCCCCTAATCAGCATTCTCCTTTGATTCCTTCAGCTGCTGGGAGTGAAAGTAACAGAGACATTAAACTGCAAAGAATGAAAAGTGAAGGAAAACAGAAATGGGTGCCAAGATCCATTCCTCCTGAAGGAGCAGACTTCCATGAAATTCCAGGACTGGAAGGATGTCTTGATGGAAATAAAAATATCATTTGTAATGGGACAAAACTGCTGAAGTCACCTCTGTGTGGAAGAAGCTTCAATCCACCTCTGTACCTTGCAAAACGTCAAAGTATCCACACAGGAGAAAAGCCCTATAAATGTTTAGAGTGTGGAAACAGTTTCAGTAATAACACAAATCTTAAACTACATCAGAGAATCCACACAGGAGAGAAGCCCTACAAATGTTCTGAGTGTGGAAAAGCTTTCAGTTATAGCATGAACCTTAAATCTCATCAAAGAATTCACACAGGGGAGAAACCCTATCAGTGTTCAGAATGTGGAAAGCGTTTCAGCCATAGTATGAACCTTAAATCTCATCGAAGAATCCACACTGGGGAAAAGCCCTATCAATGCTCAGAATGTGGAAAACGTTTCAGTCATAGCATGAACCTTAAATCGCATCACAGAATCCACACGGGTGAGAAGCCCTACCAGTGCTCTGAATGTGGAAAACGTTTCAGTCATAGCATGAACCTTAAATCTCATCGAAGAATCCACACTGGTGAGAAACCCTATGAGTGTTTAGAATGTGGAAAGCGTTTCAGCCACAGCATGAACCTTAAATCCCATCAAAGGACCCACACAGTGGAGAAGCCCACACAACAGAAATGCGTAGATGGTGGTTTTGCAAAAATGTGAGGCTGCAGCAACAAACATACATGGAATGGAATCCCATAAATTCTATCAGTGTTTGAATATGGGAAGATCTTGGGGTTCAACACAACCCTTCCTTTGAAAGGATTCAAGGAACCCAGGGGAAAGTAGATAAATATTTAGAGTTCGTTGGCAAACCAACCTTACTAACCAACAGAAATCCCACCCAACTCTATCAGTGATCAAAACAACATGGAAACTTTGGTTGGGAAGGAGGGCATAGTTTTCACAATGAACTCCTGCTGGAGTTGGCATCTCGCACAATTTCCAAGCCGCTGACCGGCTGGGTTCAGATAATATGACAAGCCATGGTGGTTTTTTACCATTGTTGGTCTGTCATGCTGTCTGAACCCAGTCATGGTATATCACCACAGTAAGTTTGGTCTTTAGTAACCATACTAAGAAATAATAGTTTGTTCTATGGTTTCTCTGTACCACCATGGCTGGTCATGCTGCCTGAAGCCAGGATCATGGTTTCCATGGTCTATGGTTTCTCTGTACCACCATGGCTGGTCATGCTGCCTGAAGCCAGGATCATGGCTTCCATGGTCATGGTGTGCAAGTACCACAGAGTCCTCTGGCAAGAATGGCAACTGCGGAGCCTCTCCAGCTGTCTAACCTCTATGTGCAGGCCAGCGAGGAGGAAGCAAGCCACATAGGCAGGAAGCAGTGCATCTTGGGATTGAATTTCAGGCGGAGCGGCTGATACAGTGTGTACCAACAGTGAGCAGACTGCATAGGGAGGATGGAAACCATACCAAAGTAAAAACCCTTGATCGTCTGTCTGGTAGATCATGGTAAAAAAACTGTCTACTATGGTGGGCACCATATCTCCTGCCTGTTTGAGGTGTACCGTGTAAACCAAGGGGGTTTCCACAGTGTCCTAATATTGTCCATGTGTGTCTGTGTTGTGTCTTGAGCGCATCTTGTTGAACATGGAGAGCATCTTGTTCATCTCCCCATGCAGAGTGTTTTCTGCAGCAAGGAGTTCATCGTGGATTCTTCACTGTCTGCTCTTCAACGCTTGTCCCTCAACCCCTCGTGACCCTGGTGGGCACAGTTACCAGAGGCCACATGATCTCTGGCCAGGCTGATGTCATTGCATCCAGCTTCCCAGCAGCCCATATCACAAGGCAAAAGGACAGTTCTCACCCAGCTCCTCTCGATACGCTGTCCCTGTACCTAGAAAGAGCTGCTTCATTTAGTCCTTGAATCTTGCTTGCTCCATTGGGCTGTTTGTCCTCCCTGCTCCTTTCATTCTTCTCAGTGGGGCCATGGCTGGACTTTGGGGACAAGTTCTAGGACTCTGGAGCCCAGGGACACTCAAATCACCACCAGGAGAATGGCAGGTGATAAGGCTATCAGACACAACTACCATGGTGTTCCAATAGCCATCTAGGACTTTAAACTCTTGCATGGACCACAATACCTGGCAGGGTGCCTCTCTGGGCACGAACTCCCCCATAGAATAAGGTCCTCATCCAAGGCCCTTCTCCAAGTGCCTCTACCTGGAGAGGCTTAGAAGACACCAACACAGGAGAGGGCATATGAAGAGGTGCCTGGATTTTTCTTGTTGTAGATTGTTCAAAATCATTGGTAGATCTAGGTGTATCTCTGGCTGTTGCATGTTTGTATGTTTACAGGTGTATGGGTTTTGTACAGTGTTTTTAAGGTCTGATATTTGTAAACTGCCCAAGAAGAACAGGAGGAGGTAAAATCAGACTCCTTTGAGTCCAGCATTGTGTTCCCACAGTGGGCATTCAGCTGTCCGCGGGATCCCACCGGCCTGGTTCTCATGTGGCAAACCTGAACAGCACTTCATATTCTAAGCGTAGTGGATGAGTACACTTTGATGCTGGCAGTTTCCTTTTCATTTTAAAAATGTTGCTGCACATTCCCCCATCTTGGAGGGATCCCTTTGGAGCTCCTCACACTTCCTGTTTGTTTTACCCACCCTAATACATTGCTGTCATCAGCAAAATTGGCCACACCTAATTCCAGATCGGGACTGCAGGTGGCGCAGTGGTTTAAACCACTGTGCTGCTGGGCTGGTTGATCGAAAGGTCGCCGGTTCAAATCTGCACAATGGGGTGAGTTCCTGTTGCTCCGTCCCAGCTCCTGCCAACCTTGCAGTTCAAAAACATGCAAATGCAAGTAGATAAAAAGGTACCACTTCAGTGGGCAGGCAACAGCTCCGTGCACTTGGGTGTTTAGTCATGCCAGCCACATGACCACGGAGGTGGTCTGCGGACAAACGCTGGCTCACTCGGCTAGGAAACGGAGATGAGCACCTCCCCCTAGAGTCAGGCATGACTGGACTTAATGTCAAGGGGAAACCTTTACCTTTTACCTTTAATTCCAGATCATTAACCAATAGGTTGAAAAGCATTGGTCAAATAAAGAACCCATTAGGATCCCACTGTTCATCCCTCCATGGGTAGAAATTATCATTCATTCCCACTTCCTCCTGTGTTTTAATGAGATAATGATCCATAAAAGACCACACACATTTTTGTTCCGTGGTTGCTAAGTTTGGCAAGGAGTCTTTGATGAGGGACTTTGTCAAAAGCCTTTTGGACCTCCAAGTAGACAATGTCTAGCAGATCACCCCTGTCCAACGGCTTCAGATATTGGGCAATATAGAAATGTAATAAACTGAAATAGTATTCTAGTGTTAAAATGTTAAGTGAACTTAACATGCAAAACGGCACATTCACAATATACTTTTTAATTAGGTTGGCAACTGGTTTTGCAGTTATTTGAGGTGGCAGAAATGGGGAAATGGTTGCAAAGAAGGGTTTGGTGGTGGTTCACAGGGAGAAGAGAAACACTGTTTGCTTTAAGGCAGAAATAATCTGCACAGCTAACGGAGCTGAAACACATTAGAGTCAGCAATGTGATGCGGTTACAAAGAAGGCAAATGCTATTTTGGGTTCCGCTAACAGAAGCATCATTTCCAGATCATGTGCAGTTCTGGTTCTGCTTTGCTCGGCACTGGTTCGGCCTCCTCTGGAGACTTGTGTCCAGTTCAGGGCACCACGCTTAAAAAATAAAAGCTGCAGACAGGCTGGAAAGGGCTCAGAGGAGGGCAACAAAGATGATCCTGGGATTGAGGGAAAAAAGCCTTGTGAGGAAAGATGGAGAGAACTGGGCATGTTCAGTCTCAAGAAAAGAAGACCCAGGGGAGACACAATAGCACCCTATAAGTACTTGAAAGGCTGGCACAAACAGGAAGGCCAGGATCTCTTCTCCATTATCTCAGAGTGCAGGACAGAATAACAGGTTCAGATTACAGGAAGTCAGATTCTGACTAGATTTAATTTAATTAATTTAATTAAAACAGTTAAAAGAATTTCCTGACTGTCAGAGCAGTACAACAATGGAACTCATGACCTGGGGAGGTGGTCGGCTCCCCTACACTAGAGGCATTCATGATGCAACTGGACAGCCATTTGACAGGGATGGCTGAAGCTGGAGTCCCACCCTGCAGAAGGGGATGGACCCTCTGGCCCTTCCAGTTCTACTATTCTAGGATTCTGTGATTCATACAGTCCAGGGATTAAAAATTACTGAGCGGATTCATTGTCAGTTCTGAGCAAGCTGGATCAGAGTGGCCCTGAATGAATGCTCTTTTGTGTGGGATATGGCAAGCGCTTCTCTTGGCCCTCTCTGTTTAAGTTGCATCAACGAACTCACACTGGTGAGAAGCCATTTCAGTGCTTCAACTGTAGAAAAAGCTTCACTTGGCACTCTTACCTTAAGGTGCATCAACAGATTCACACAGGAAAGGAGCCATTTAAATGCTCAGAATGTGGGAAGGGCTTCAATGACAGTGGTCACCTTGGAGACCATCTCAGAATCCACACAGGCGAGAAACCCTTTCAGTGCTCAGTGTGCGGAAAGGGTTTCAGTCAAAACATAAACCTTAAGGTCCATCAGAGTATCCACACAGGGGAGAAGCCCTACACTTGCTCTGAATGTGGGAAGGGCTTCCTTGATTGCAGAAGGCTTAAACAGCATCAAAGAATTCGCACAGGGGAGAAGCCATATAAATGCTTAGAGTGCAGAAAGAACTTCACTTTGCCCTCTTAAGTTGCATCGAAGAACTCACACAAGAACTCATTTAAATGCCCAGAATTTGGAAAGGGCTTCAGCAAACGCACAAGCCTTAAAACCTCTCTCCACACAGGTGAGAAGCCCTTTCAGTGCTCACTGTGGGGAAAGGCTTTCAGTCAGAACACACAGCTTAAGGTTCATCAGAATATCCACAAAGAATAGAAGCTGTACAGTTGCACTGAATTTGGGGAGAGCTTCCTTGATTGTGGAAAGCTTGAACAGCATCAAAAAACTCATTTAGTTGAGAATCAGCATAAATGCTCAGAGTGTGGAAAGAGCTTCACTTGGCACTATCAGCTTAAGAATCCACACAGAAAAGAAGCCCTTTCAGTGCTCAATGTGTGGAAAGAGTTTCCGTCAAAATGCACACCTTAAGGGACATCAGAGAATCCACACAGGGGAGAAGCCCTATGCTTGCTCTGATTGTGGGAAGAGCTTCATTGATTCCAGAAAGCTTAAGCGGATTCAGAAAACTCACACAGGCGAGAAGCCCTATAAATGTTCAGAATGTGGAAAGGGCTTCACTGACAGCACAGGCCTTAAGGTACATCAGAGAACCCACACAAGAGAGAAGCCCTACACCTGCTCTGAGTGTGGGAAGTGCATCACTGACTGCACAAAACTTAAACTGCACCAAAGAACTCACACAGGCAAGAAGTCATATAAATGTTTCGAGTGTGGAAAGGCCTTTGCTCGAAGTACAGCCCTTCATACCCATCACAGAATCCACACAGTGTGGAAAGTTTCAGTCTGAGCATGACCTTCAAGAAACATGAAAATTCACACATACAATAGATGCTAGATAAGAACCCTACTAGTGCTTCAACTGTGGAATAAGCTTTCATAGTGGCAGGCAGCTTACATACAGCGGTACCTTGGCTCACAAACTTAATCCATTCCACGACTCTGGTTGTGACCCAAAATGGTCATGAGTCAAGTCAAATTTTCCCATAAGGTTCAGTGTAAATAATGTTAATCCATTCTGTAACTATTTGTTTTAATCACAAAAATTTGAAGCAAAGTGACAACAACAAAGATTGCGGCCAACTCCCCTGCTCCCAGCACAATTGCGGCCATCTCCCCCACCCCCCAGCACAATCGCGATCATCTCTCCCCTGAGCACAACCGCAATTGTGCCTGTGCAGGGAAGATGGGTGCAATCGCGATCGTCACCTGATGCAGAGTTCACGGCCTGAGGCAAATTTTTCTGAAATTTCTGTTTGCGACCCGATTTGGTTGTGAACTGAGGCATTCCTGAGCCGAGGTTCCACAATAGCTTGAAAGAATCCACACAGGGAATTGTTTTGTTTCGCAAGGGACAAGGAACCTCAAAACTCCCCCACTCCATGGCTTGACATCCATGGTTTCATTAATACTCTGGTTTGGAGAATTAGCTTATAGCCAGGAATTGGGACAGCTAATGGAGATGGCTCTCTGGCCTTAAGAGGAGGGCTAAACCCTTGGACTGGTCTAGGACAGGGTGCATCACCTCCCTGGGGTCCTTTTCGTGTCCTTCCCACTCTCAAATTGGGAGCCTCTCCTCTTTTCTGCCCCCGTCTTTTTACTCAGAGGACGCCAGGTAACCCGCTGCCCAGCTCTGGTGGTTCTCCGGGCACATGCACGAAGAGCTGCCCAGACTCAGCAGCCTTCTCCCTGTGAGACCACCGCCAGCTTTTGCCACTCAGTGCTCTGTGCCTCCTCTCCAGCCCTGGCATTTGTCTCTGCACCTTCCTTAGCTAGTCCCCACCATGCCACTCTCGGTGCCTCTTGTCCAGTTCGTTTCTATGCACTTCTCTCTTTTCCCAATCCCTTCCCCTGACTTCCCTTTATCCCCCATGCTGTCCTTCCCCTGCCCGCATCCACTGTTGCTCACTGAGCTCAATTCACACCACTTTGGGGCAATGGATTCCTCTGGTTGCAGCCACTGAGGAATCCCTCCTGGGAGTGGGAATTCCTTTCTCTTATCTCCTCCCTGGACGTCAGGTGGGAGACGGCAAGCCCCCATGACCTCTCACAAGGAGAAGCTCCACAGATGCTCAGAGTGTGGAAAGAGCGTCCTTCAGTCGAAGCACAAAGCTTAAAAACCATAAAAAGATTCTATTGAGGGAAGCTGCATAGATGTTCAGATTGTGGAATCAGTCTCCAGGATAGTGAGATCTTGTTTTTTCAGCAAAACTTGCACACATGGGAGAACATGTATATGTGTATAGGATGAAAAACCTGCACTCTTAGTTTTTAATGTTTCATTGTTTGCAAATCAAAGTAAAGCAAACATTTGGAAAAATATTTAACTTTATTATTACTTTCCACTCCCACCCCTAGCTCAAGTTACATAAAAGAGAGTCCACAGGCCTGCAGGGTGCATGTTGGTTAAACACACACTGTTACCATAATTTCTAACTTGCTGGCACCATCTGCCCATATCCAATTACATTAGTATGTTACATAAATTACATTAGTATATTCAGCCAGTGTCAAAGGAATCAAATATTCATTGGCCTCTCATAAGCCGTAATCCACATGCCATTTTTTCCACTATTGGGGTCTTCCACACTGAATAGTACCATTCATTCAAATCTGTAAATTGGGACACAGTTACTTTTCTAGCGGGAAATAAAAGATGCGAAATGAGCTCCATAGGAATATTCTTTTCCAGGAATACCTCCAATAGGGCCAGTTTAGAGTCAACGGGTACCCCTGCTTTAACAATCCGAGTAATCCCAGGGAGAACCGCAGTCTGGAATCGATGGATCATGGCACATTCCCACATGTGGGTGGGTGCCAACCGCTTGGCCCCCCTCCAGCACATATGGGAGGAGCTGGACGTCGTAAGTGCCAATGTTCCAGGAAACAGACACCAACCCTTAATTACCCCAGCAATGTCTTCCTGGCGTTAACAGATAAAGCCATTTCCTTTCCCCCAGATACTCAGCCAAGCTGCATCACCCACAGAAGATCAGATTACCTCCCAGTTTTTCTCCAAACAACTCCTTTTGCTCCTCCGAGTCCAAGATTGTCCTATATATAGTTCACACTGTCTCTTTAACACAACCGCTATCATGATCGATCAGTTTCTCAGAACCCCAAGCCGCCAAATTCCTTTATACCCTTGCTTGAAAGCAAAGACTGTAGTCAACATCCCACAAGCTGCATGATAGCAAAATTTACTACTAGTTTGAATTCTGAGTCTTTGAGTCTGGTCAATACCCTCTCCCTCTCCCTTGAAATCACATGTGTCTGATTTTTTTAAACATCAGATGGATGGAACTGGAGGGGCAGCAAAGGCGAATCCCCTGGGACAAGGACTGAAGACTTCCAGACGCAAATGTCAAACATGGAGCTCATGATGATTTAAATGTGTGTCTCATGAATGGGGCAGCTGTCAGAGGGACCCCATTCAATGCGACATTCTCTAGAGACATCTGTTGGGAGGTTCTCAGACACAAGAAATCAAATGCTGCAACTGACAGGGCTCATCATACTCCATCCTCCCCAAAATGTCAACATGCATAATATTTTCTTCACTCGTGGTTTACCATTAAATACTAAAAAGCAGAGACATCATCCTGCCAACAAAAGTGCGCATAGTCAAGGCTATAGTTTTCCCAGTTGCAATGTATGGCTGCGAAAGCTGGACCAGAATGAAGGCTGAGCACCGAAGGATTGGGGCCTTTGCATTGTGGTGCTGGAGGAGACTCCTGCGAGTCCCTTGGACCGCAAGGCGATCAAACCGGTCAGTCCTACAGGAGATCAACCCTGACTGCTCTTTAGAAGGCCAGATCCTGAAGATGAAGCTCAAATACTTTGGCCACCTAATGAGAAGGAAGGAATCCCTGGAGAAGAGCCTAATGCTGGGAACAATTGAGGGCAAAAGAAGAAGGGGACGCCAGAGAATGAGGTGGCTGGATGGAGTCACTGGGGCGGTGGGTGTGAGCTTGGGTGGACTCCGGGGGATGGTGGAGGACAGGAAGGCCTGGAGGAATGTTGTCCATGGGGTGGAGATGGGTCAGGCACGACTTCGCAACTCACAACAATGAACATATTAATGGTGGCAGAGCCAGAGGCAAGCAGTGGCCTCCGAACCAGATCAGCTCTTCCACGCCCGTCTCTGCAAAACCTGCGGGCAGCCAATTGAAACTGTTACGGAGTTGGAAAATAGAAGAGCACAGATGACAGGCATGGCTTTGGTTGCCACCTTGATCTTGCCAGGTTTTAAGGGTTTAGGACCCCGATTGCTTGTGCTTTGCACTGGGAAAAGCTTTTGTGAGGTTGTGACGTGAGGGGCACCTCCATTTGGAGCCTCTGAAGAATATGGTACTACTTAGATGCAGGGAGAGGCCCATTGCTTCCCATTGTCCTCTGGTGGGGAGAAGGCCTGGTGACCTTGCTGAGATTCCCCAGAATTTTGTGTTGGCTTTTCAGAACAAGAAGGCAGGACACCAGGCGAATATGGCTGTTGGTGCAAGATTTTACAGGAGTCCAACTCTTCAAAATACGACTTTCAGAATTTGGGACTTATTTTTAAATTCATTGCTAGAAGCAAGTGAGAAATGTCCACCTGAAAATGCTGAGAGAAAGGAAGTGTGGGATGGAGAGATCAGAATGACTCAGGTCATCATCTGGAGTCCTTTGAGAGCCTCTGAGCTTATGACTCAGGAAGAAGAGGGGGAGAGTGGAGTGTCATCGGCCTGTTGGGGACATGTCAGCCCATGGCTCTGGATAACCTGCCCCAGCGGTTTCATGTAGAGGTTAAACAGCATGGAAGGCAGGGTAGAACATTGCCCTGTAGAACTCCATGGCCCAATTGCCCCAGAACCAGGCAATTGCCCCACCACCACCTTCTGGAATTGGTCAGGAGAACCACTGCAAAGTGGCGCCACCTACACCCAACTTGGCCAACCTGTTTAGAAGGTCACCATAGCCAATGGTGTCTAAAGCTGCTGAGATCCAGGAAGATCAAGTCACATTCCCCCATTGCTCTCCCGGCAGAGGTAATTCCACAGGGTGGGCAAGGCAGTTTCCATCCTGAACCTTGGCCTGAAAGCCTCTTTAAAAGAGGCTGGCACCCCTCCCTCAGGAGTTATTTACAGCCTCCTGGACCCAAGTACACATCCCTTCCTTCACTCTAACAAGCAGCCATGACGGGCAAGGGTGGTGTGTACAGCTGGCAGGCCAGACTTGGCAGAGCGCCTCATCCACGTCCTCAGGCCTCAATAGCCAAAGCTCATCCAGGAAAACTGGTCCGGATATTCTGGTCCTGTTCCTATTTTGCTGAAGTTCAGATGGCACAACAAGCCAGCAGGGGTCAAACAACCCATGGTCCCCCTCCAACTGTAGGAGTCTAGGTTTCTTGAAAGAGAAGCCTTGGATGGCAACAGTGGCTTGTAAGCCACGAACAGGCCAGCAGGATAGGCCTGTCCGGGGTTCCCTTGACAAGCCACTGCACAGCATAAGCCACGGGGGTTGCCTTGCGAGTGCGGCCCCAGGCCAAGCCACTCCATCACCCCTCAGTCACAAAGCCAGCACTTTCCTTTACAAGGGATTTCCCATTTCCAGGGAAGCTAGTCAGAAAGGCGTTGAGCAGAGGATAACGTGCTGCACTGGAGAGTTAAAGCGCTGCAGAGGCTATTTGTTTAATTGATTATTTAATTTCTACCCTGCCTGTTAGCCAAAATGGCTCTACTGGGAAGAAAAAGAGGTTTGAAAGTAAAAGCATGTTGCTGAAAGGATAAAGAGATGAAAAAAGGACATTGGAGATAAGGAGTAAATATTGTTTTTATTTTAAAGAAAGGTAAAACTGAGTCATTTTAATGAAGAGAGTAAGTTCTCGTTTGGAGCCAGGGCAGGGGAGAATGCCGGGGCCAATGGATCAGACCGCAGTCCCCTTCGAAGAGTGATAATGAGGAATGAAATGAAGCTCCTCAGCAAACCAGGCTCTTTCCCAATGCCCAGCACCGGTACTCGGCACCACTCGCTTGGGAAAGGGGAGGAAGAAGCTGAGGACATTCAGTCAAGAGGAGCTGGAGGAGCTGGGGGAAAACTGCCGCAAAGGAGACTTGCAGGCAGCGGGACCAAAGCCTACGTGGAAGCGGCTGACATTCCTCCCAACAGCTTTCTGCACACTGAACCCTGAAAGGGCTCCTCCCCTGAATGGATCCTTCCCAGTGAGTTAAGGTCGCTGTTCCAAGCCAAGCTCTTTCCACACTCAGAGCATTTATATTGCTTCTCTCCACTGTGAATTCTTTGGTATGAGTTAAGGTCTCTTTTCTGAGCAAAGCCCTTTCCGCATTCTAAGGATTTATATGGCTTCTCCCGTGCGAATTATTAAATGTTGTTTAAGGCTACTGCAATCACGGAAGCTCTTCCCACATTCAAAGCAAGTATAAGGCATCTCCCCTGTGTGGCTATTCTGATGTAGCTTGAGATTCCTGCTCTGACTGAACTTCTTTCCACACACTAAGCTCTGAAAGGGCTTCTCCCGTGTAGATTGCTTTATGTGAACTGAGGTGTGATTTATAAGCATAGTTCCTTCCACATTCTGAGCATTTATAAGGCTTATCCCCTGTGTGAGTCCTTTGATGCCACTTAAAACGAGAGGGACAAATGAATAATGTTTCACATTCTAAGCATTTCTGGGGATTATCCCGTGTGAATTTTTTGATGCTGTTTAAGCATTTCGCAATCAAGGAAGCTCTTCCCACATTCCAAGCAAGTGCAGGGCTCCTCCCCTTTGTGGATTCTCTGATGTTGCTTAAGGCTTGCATTCCGAGTGAAACCCCTTCCACACACTGAGCACACAAAGGGCTTCTCTCCTGTGTGAATTCTTTGATGGAACTTAAGGTGAGAGTGCCAAAAGAAGTGCTTTCCACACTCTGAGCACTGGAAGGGCTTCTCCCCTGTGTGAATTACTTTATGTGAATTAAGGGATGATTTGTTAGAAAAGCTCCTTCCACATTCTGAGCATTTAAATGGCTTCTCCCCCATATGGATTCTTTGATGCCACTTAAGGAAAGAAGGAAAAGTGAAATGCTTTCCACACTCTGAGCACTGGAAGGGCTTCTCCCCCGTGTGGATTCTGTGATGATACTTAAGGCTAAAATTTTGACTGAAGGCCTTCCCACACTCAGAGCAAGTGTAGGGTTTCTCCCCTGTGTGGATACTCTCATGTAGCTTAAGACTTCCATTCCGAGTGAAACCCCTCCCACACACTGAGCACACAAAGGGCTTCTCTCCTGTGTGGATTCTTTGATGCTGTTTAAGCTTCTTGAACTCAAGAAAGCTCTTCCCACATTCAGAGCAAGGGTAGGGCTTCCCCCCTGTGTGGATACTCTGATGTGCCTTAAGGTTCTTGCTCTGACTGAAACTCGTTCTATCCAAAGAGTCCTGAAAGGGTATCTCTACTGTGTGGATTCGGCAATGTATTTTGAGGTTCCAGCTTTGACTGAAGCTCCTTCCGCATTCTGAGCATTTAAATGGCTTCTCACCAGTGTGAATCCTTTGATGCAACTTAAGACGAGAGTGTGAAGTGAAGCTCTTTCCACACTCTAAGCAACTGTGTAGATTCTCCCCTGTGTGGAATCTTTGATGACTTTTAAGAGATGCTCTCCAACTGAAGCCCTTCCCACACTCGGAGCATTTAAATGGCTTCTGCCCTGTGTGGATCCGTTGATGCACCTTAAGAGAAGAGGCTGAAGTGAAGCTCTTTCCACACTCTGAGCATTTATAAGACTTTTGTCCTGTGGGCTTTCTTTTCTGTATGTTAACGTCTGAGCTGCAACTGAATTCCGTGGCAGACTTGAAGCATCTGAAGATCTTCTGCTCTTTCTGACTACCTTGTAGTTTAGAAAGCTGGATCTGATAGCTTCTTAGGTCCTTAGTGTATTCCCATGGTCTCTCCCCACTGCCAATACTCTGCTTACTTCCTCTGGAAGGTGCTCGTAGCATTGGAACAACACAGAAATCCATCCGACCGAAAGAAATTGAGTCATTTTTCCAGTTTTTTGGGTCTGTTTTCTGTCTTCGGTGCCCATGGTTTCTATTGCTCCCGCTGCAATCAGCTGAAAGAAGAAAAAGGAAAGTCTTCCTCAATACACAGAAGATTCCAGTGGGTTGCTGATTACAGTAACAGGATGATCCCAATAAGGGAGGAAGCACATCTGTTTGCATGGGTGTATTTCCCCTTAAGCATCCCACATGGTGCTCCAACAGTAAAGGAAAACAATAAAAATGTTTACAATGTAAGAATCCCTAATGAGGCCTGTCATTTTGCCCCGATTGGTTAGTGAACTCGGGCCTGGAAAGTGGGCATTCTGGGCGGGCCTTCTGGATGTCTCCGCATCTTCTGAAGCCACACGTCAGGATAGACTGTTAAGGCATTCCCGCTGGCTTGTGCCACTGCTTTTCTTGAACTTGGTTTTAAAATGAATTTTGTGTTGGGTTCTGCTCTCCTGTGTCTCCTGGATTGGTTACCAAAAATAATATGGGGATGGGCATACCAGAGCCAACCTCAAGGACACCCACACAAATGCCTACTACACAGAAGCCATGCCAGGAATTTCACCATCCAGGATTCATCACTGAGGGAAAGACTGGAGGGGCTGCACTCCTCACCCAGAGAAGCCAGGATCTCCTGCGTGACCTCCCGGTGCAGAGCCCTCTGGCCAGCGTCCAGCAGGGCCCACTCATCCTCCGAGAAATGCACGGCCACCTCCTCGAGGCTCGTCACACCCTGGGAAAGAGGAAGTCATTCATCACAGCCATGCAGGGAGACGGCGGTGGGGAGGGGGCTGGAGGTTCCCCTGTGGAATCCGGGGCTCCACGAGTGAATCCAGAAGCCTCCGATCCTCCTCCTGGGATGGAAGCAAAGGCAAAGGGCCTGCCAGTCCAGGAGGAGGGACAAAGGCACTCAGGCCGCTCCTACCTTCTCTGCATGCAGGGATGGTGTCTCCGCTCCACCACAAACTGAAGGAGGCCTCAAAGGAACACTTAGAATCACTCCATCCTCCCTGCAGGTTGTTCCCTTTCCTAAGGACAGGAAAGAGATCAGAGAAGAAACTGTGTTCCTGAAGAACATTGTGTCATTTACTTTCTTGTGTGGAACTGATATTTGTCAACAGCTTTTTCAATGTTTTAGACTGGCTACTCAAGAAGAGTTTCCTGCTGCCCCAAAGGAATCTCTAGAGAAGCTTAAAGCAGCTCAGGCACTTTGGGTACAGAGTAGATGGGAGACGAGGCTGCAATGGACCCACTCACCCTCAACAGAAGACAAGGGTCCCCTGTCCACCTCCTGCATGATCCCCCTCGACAGCAGCCCGTGTGCAGGATCTGACAGAGCCTTCCCTGCCTCAAGGAACTCTATGGCTGCGTTATCCGATATTCGCTGAGTCTGGAATTGCAATGCAGATCACAGGTAAGGAAGGGCTGAAGGGGTTAACCAAGAAAAATTCCGTAATGCAAGTGCCGAACAGAACCTCCCAGTGGGCTTGCATTTCAAGTCTCCTACTAGGGGTGTTCTGCCTTAAAACCCTGCAGCACCCCAGGCTGCGTCTTTATCAGGAGAGCCTGGAAGGATCCGTGCATCAGGCTAAGAGCTCAGCCTGGAACAAGCAAAGGGCCACAACAGCCTCCTGCAACCGATCAGCTGGAGAGAGATGCCTGCTTTCTTCCTGCCACTTCCATACTGAGCCTCTCCTCCTCAGGAACAGAAAAACCCACAGAAGTGTCCGTGGATCCTCCACAGGGGGTCCGTCCCACATTCAGAATTGCTGTCCATGTTGAAACTGGGACATCTCCAACTAGGCAGAGAGGCAGGAAAAGGGCAGCCACTAGGGGGGAGATTGGAAATTTCAGTGCCCTGGAGTTATCGGGATGTGATACACTCACCTGCCCCACTGCTGGCTCAGGGGGCCTCCTTCAGCCAGGACCACTGCCTGGGAACTGGTCTCTGCGCCACACTCCCTCCCCAGCCCCCCAGCTGAGGAGGAAGGATGGCTGAGAACTGTTGCAGCATCACTAGGTCCATGCACCAGGGCCAAAAGCTGGACCCTGGCAGCAGCAGAGGACTAGAACAGCCTCCTGAAATCCACCAGCAGAGAGGAAGAACCTCTCAGAGCATCCTTGATCTGCAGCTCCCACTGGACATGGAAAACTGGGGCACCCATGAGAGATAGGCATCAAAATCAGGCCCCTGGGAAGGAGTTTTAAAGTCTCAGTCCCATGGAGTTTTCGGGAGGAAAAATGCTCACCTGCTGCCCTTCCTGCTGCTCTTCCTGCTGCCCCTCCTCTGCCTGGCTCAGCAGGGCGCCTTCGGCCAGGGCCACCGCCTGGGCACTGGTCTCCGCTCCGCACTCCCGCACCCAGCTCTCCAGCCATGGGGGAAGGATGGCCAGGAACTGCTCCAGGATCACTTGGTCCAGCAGCTGAGCCTTCGTGTGGCTTTCTGGCCGCAGCCACTGATGGCAGAGACGGTGCAGGCGGCTGCAAAGTACTCGGGGCCCCTCGGCCTCCAGGTAGCCCGACTGCCTGAAGCGCTGGCGAGCCACGTCTGAGCTGGGGTTGCTCCCTCCCATGTCCTCCTCCACGCCTCTTTCCCAGAGCTCTATGCTGCTCCCTTGCAGAATTCCATGGGAGCCATTGCTCGCCTCACAGCCAGCCAGGTCCTGTTCTTCCGTCTCCACTCCATTCTCCATTTCTGCTCTCAGGAGGACTTGAAGGGCCTCTTGCTGCATTGCCTGTTCTTTGTTGAGAGGAAAACTGTGGGGAGGAAGGAAATCACAGATACCCCTGTGGCCAACGTAACCCTGGACCCTATTTCAAATATCCTCCCAGAATTCCTGTCCCGCAAGAAACGGGCACTTGGTTACCCCTCACTTCTAGGACATAAACCATGTGTGCTTTTGATAAGTAAATGCACACTCGATTTTCTCTGAGGACTTCAAAAGGGCCATGCTGGATCAGACCACGGGACCCTCTCCAGCATGCTGCTCACACCATGGCCAGCCCCCAGGGTCGAACTTGGGGGTGGTCCTGAGGGTCAGGGGTCCCTTCTGGCTCTACTCTTCTAGGCCCATGGGAAACCCACATGAATCCTGCGTGATCAACAGCCTCCTCCCACCCAAGGCCACACCAAGTGGTGCACCCCAGCGTACTCCCCCCGAGTTAGTGGCCAACAAGGAGCCACAAGGCCTCGTAGCCACGCATAGCCTTCTCTTGCCTGATTTCCTCACATCCCTGTTAACAGTGTCTGCATTGTCGGTCACCACTCACAATTTCCTGTGGCAGGAAACTCCATAGGTTCACTATCCGCTGGAAGATATGTCCTTACATCAACAAGGATTCAACAAGAGAAATGATCCAGGGTCTGTAGCAGGCACCCCAAAAGGAATGGCTACAACAACTGGGACTCTTCAGTTTAGATAAAGGTGAGTAAGGGAAGACAGGATAGAGTTGTTCAAAATATTGCATGGCATGGAGAAAGTAGAAAGGAAGAATTTTTCTTCCTCTCCTGTAACATTTGAAACCCAAATGATCCCATGGAGGTGACTGGGGTGAGGTTTAGGACAGAAAACTTCTTGGCACATTCTCATTAGATCAAAAAGGTTTTAACAACAGAGAGAAATGATCAGGGGCCGGAAGCAGGTCCCCCATGATGTCTACAACAACTGGGACACTTCAGATTTGAGAAAGATGGAGTCAGGGAAGACTGGAGCGAGATGTTGAAAACAAGGCATGCTATGGAGAAAGAAGACAGGGAGATAATTTTCTTCCTCTCCCATAACACACAAAACCCAAATAATCCCATGAAGCTGATTGGGCTGGGGTTTAGGACAGACAAAAGGAATTACTTTTTGGCACATCCTATAACTAAAATACGGAATTGGCTGCCACCAGAAGTCCTGCTGGCCACCAATTTGGATGGCTGGAACAGGAGACTGCACAGATTCGGGAGGGAGGAGGCCATCGGTGGCTGCTCACCCAGCTGGCTGAATGCTGCCTCTGTGACCAGATGGACCATGGCTGCACACACCAGTTGCTGAGGAGCCTGGGCAGGAGGAGGTCTTGCACCGATCCTGCTTGAGGGATCCTCTGGGAAGCTGGATGTGGAGTGCTAGATGCTGGTTCTGTGGGGCATCTCACACTCTTCGCTTTCTGGGATGACTCCTTTGGGTTCTAGACTAAGGGAAAGGGGGTTAAGATCTCCCTCCTCATTTCTCCAGCACAAGCATCATCTTAAACACCCCCATCCAGGCCCCCTTTCCTCCAACTAATCCACCTGGCTTGTGGCCAACTTCCTCCGAGGAATGCAGGGGCTGGGCCACTTGCTAAGTCCCCTGGAAGCAAGCAGAGGATCCCCAGCCCCCCACCACCAAGGGCTTTGCCCTTCATGTCTTTCCAAACTGTTCCCTGGCTTTCCCTAGGCCAGTTCTTTCCTGGAAAGGAGCAAGGCTGGGGTCTTCTGCAGGGTTCCCTCCGGGGGCGGGGAGGAGCAACCTTGGAATTGCATGGTGCTGGTAGGGCCTGTCTCCCTCTCCCCTCCATAAAGCTTCTCATCCCCGTGGGCATATTTGCTGCGCTGCTTTCCAGGGACCCTCGTGCGCTTCCACACACCATGTCCCTGATGGAAGCCGCCCCCCTGCACTGCGCCTGGCACTACATTGAATAGAAAGTTCAAAGACGCCTAAAGTGGGAGGGAAGGCCTGGAGTCCTTTCACTATTGACCTTCTGCAAATGCACAGAGCCAGTGCACGACATGCCGTAACACAAAGATCCCAGCAGAATTACTGTGCGGGAGAGCGATGCGCCCTAAGGCAAAGGGCCGCTTCCTTGGCGGGAATCCCGCCGGCTTCGAGGCACCGGGAGGAGAAGCGCTGCCCCGCGTCCCCCACCCCCGGCTCGGATCTCCCCACGGCTGCGTCCAGGCCGGTTCCCCGCGGGGTCCTATGGAGTGGGACCCCCACGGCCTCCCCCTCCGGCCCCACGTACCGAGTTCCTGCTCCCCGGCCGGGATGCCCGTGGGGGGCGAAGGGGAGGGTCCCCCGCAGGGGCCTTTCGCGCGCGCGCCTTCCCGGGACCCCGCCAGGGGGACCCGCCTCCCCACTGCTGGAAGCCGCGCCTGCGCATTGCGAGCGAGGGGGTGCTAGGAGGGCTGCCCGGTCGTCTTGGGAATCGAGGCGCTCTGCAGCCCCTCTAGGAACGCGCCTCTCTCTCGCCTTAACCCTTCCCTCGCATCTCCCGTCCCGGAGCCGTCGGGGTCTCTGCCCCGCGGCTCCGGCAGCCCCCGGGCGCCGCCCACGGGATGCACTTCAAAGGCCCGACTGCCAATTGTCCCGCAGGCGAGCCCTCCTCCTGGCAAGGGCTCCGGACGGAGCATGAGGCCATCTCAGCCTCGCTCCCTGTGTCACTGGGCGAAGGACTTTCGCAGCGCTCGACGGGCTCCTTCGCAACCCCGCTGGCCTGAGCTCTCCGCGGGCTGTGCAGCAGCCAAGCCCATCCCGCAGCAATGGCCAGGGCCCTGTCCAGAAAGGTGGCAGAGCATCGCCGCCACCCCTGCGAGGGTGCTCTGGTGCATCGCCTGCGCAGCTTTTCCCCACCTCCTTCCCAGGCCAACGAAACCCCTCCTGTGCTTTTCTCCAATCCTGGCTCCCTTCCTCCATCCTTAAACATGGAGCTAAACTCACACTTCCGGGCAAATAGATGGGGAAGAAATGGAGGTAGTGACAGATTTTATTTTCCTGTGCTCCAAGATCACTGCAGATGGGGACTGCAGCCAAGAAATTAAAAGATGCTTGCTCCTGGGGAGGAAAGCTATGGCAAATCTAGACAGTATACTAAAAAGCAGAGACATCACCCTGCCGACAAAAGTGCGTATAGTCAAGGCTATGGTTTCCCCAGTTGCAATGTATGGCTGTGAAAGTTGGACCATAAGGAAGGCTGAGCACTGAAGAAATAAGGCCTTTCAATTGTGGTGCTGGAGGAGACCCCTGTGAGTCCCTTGGACTGCAAGGCGATCAAACCAGTCAGTCCTAGAGGAGAACAACCCTGACTGCTCTTTAGAAGGCCACATAGTGAAGATAAAACTCAAGTAGTTTGGCCACCCAATAAGAAGGAAGGACTCACTGGAGAAGACCCTGATGCTGGGAACGATTGAGGGCAAAAGGAGAAGGGGACGGCAGAGGATGAGGTGGCTGGATGGAGTCACTGAGGCAGTTGGTAGAGCTTGAGTGGAGTCTGGGGGATGGTGGAGGACAGGAAGGCCTGGAGGAATGTTGTCCATGGAGTCGCGATGGGTCGGACATGACTTTGCGACTAACAACAACAACAAACCCAGATCAGCACGGTGATTTTCAAGCACCAATTCTGGACCATGGACTGTCAGCAAGGCAGTTGCTCGAGCTGCAGTGCCAAAGAAGATTTGAGATTTCATCCCGTAACCCTGAATAAGCGTGACAATGAACTGCCTCCCGGAGCTGTAGAATCTGGGGGCCATTCCTGATCTGTCCCCCCCCCCCCCACGGGCAGTGAGCAACCCTCGATGTTTCCCAGTTGCCCCATGTGCAGGTACTATTTATTTATTTAAAACTTTTGTATGCCGTCCCTTATGCATGGCGTCTCAGGACGGCTCACAGTCCTTAAAATCAAAGTACAATAAATCCACATATATAAATAATATAGTGCCATAAAAATTTACTCAAAGGTCAAAATCAAAGCGACTGTCCAGAACGATTAAAATGCTAATTTTTAAAATAGCCATTGAATAAAAAGGTTTTGACCTGACTCCAAAAAGAATACAAACTCGGCACCCGGCACACCTCTCCAGGAAGCACATTCCACAATCTGGGTGCCACCACAGAGAAGGCCCTGCTCCGGATAGATGTTCTTTTTACCTCCTTCAGGGAGGGTTCCCAGAGCAGAGCCTCTCCCGCAGATCTTAAGGGGCATATAAGGGAGGAGGCGTTCCTTCAGGTATCCTGGTCCCAAGCTGTACTACCCCAAAGGCATCCTTAAAGTCTGTAGAAATAGTTACTCCTTGTTCCTCCACCAGCTGAAGAGCTCCTGACAGTGCAATTAGCTCAGCAAGCTGTGCTGAGGAAGGACGGGGGGGGGGGGGGAGCCAAACTTTCCAGCAACCCATTCTCCATGAAGTTGCTCCCATCTGTGAAGCACACAAAGTTTGGATTTTGGAGGGGCTGGGCCTGAAGATCTGAACGAATTGCATAAACTGTACCCCCCTCCAATTGAAGGCTATCATGAACCAAATCATCTTTAGGAATTAGGAAGAGTGCTGCTGGCCTTAATGGCCCAGATGTGCAGAGGGTAGCTTTAAAAAAATTTTTTTCTTTACATATACATGGGAAAAATGTAGAATAGAAAAAACTAGTATAAACAGAACAAACTGAAGTGAACAAGATAAACAGAATAGACAAGATTGCCAAGGGATTTTTTTAAAATTATTTTCTTAACATAAGCAAATACATAGAAAAAATATTACTAAGAAAAAAACTTAGTATGAACCAAACAAACTGAAATACAAGATAAACAAAATAGACAAGATTGCTAAGGGAATTATAAACAGAAGCAGCCCATATTGCAACCTCCAAACTGACTCTCTTTCTATCTTCCAACGCTTTAGGAGAGTTTTCCAAAAAGGAGTCATTATTCTGTACACCAACAGATACGGCTTTCTTTTTTCTTTTCCTAACTCCCCTGAACATCCATTAATCATGCTGAACACAATAAAATTTCCATTTATCATTCAATTCAAGTCAGGCGAATATGGATGCTTGTTTCGTCCCCTTGAAGCAGACTGATGAGCTTTCCTGCAGTCAACAGTGGAGGCATGCTTGCGGGGGGAGGGGGGGTGCCTGGTACAGGGGCTTCTCACCCCACCACTCCAAATCCTGGGGATTTAGGGACACAGATTAGAGTCACCCCATAGAAGTCAAGGAGCTCCTCAGGGCACTGGATGTTACAAAGGTGCTGGGTCCTGATGAGTTACACCAGAGAGTACTTCTAGAGTTGGTGGAGGACTCTCCCGCCTGCTGGCCTCCATTTTTGAGGCCTCGTGGAGAACGGGTGAAATTCCAGAGGACTGGAGGGTGGCGTCAGTGATCCCAATTTTCAAAATGGGTAGTAGAAGGGACATGGGGAGTTACAGACCAGTTACGCTTACGTCCATTGTAGGAAAAGCAATGGAAAGGCGTAGAATAGCGAGAGATCTAGTGATGCTAGATAGGGAAGGGAGGTTGGTGGCCACACAGCATGGCTTCTGCAATAACAGATCCTGCCAGACAAACCTTGTGGAATTCTACGACAAGGTTTCGAGGTGGCTAGATGCAGGGGATGCAGTGGATGTGGTTTACCTGGATTTCAGCAAGGCCTTTGACAAAGTGCCCCATGATATCCTGGTTGAGGGATTGAGGAGTTTTGGAATAGACCAATGCACTGTCTGATGGATAAGGGAATGGTTGACTGACCGAAAGCAGAGGGCAACTATTCGTGGGTAAACATTGCGATGGCAGCCGGTGATGAGCAGGGTCCCCCAGGGCTCAGTCCTGGGACCGATGCTGTTCAATCTTTTCATCAATGACCTGGAAGAGGGGGTAACCAATCTGCTGATCAAATTTGCAGATGATACTAAAATGGGGGTGGCGGGCACAACTGAGGTGCAGGTACTCCAGATCCAAAAGGATCTAGAAGTGGAGTGGGCAGGGGACAACAGGAAGTGGAATGGAATGGGCAGGGGACAACAGGATGACATTCAGTGTGGACAAGTGCAAGGTTTTGCACTTAGGACATAGAAATGGGTGTCATAAGTACAGGTTAGGGGACAAGTGGCTGGAGAACAGCACTTGTGAAAGGGATTTCAGGGTGCTAGTCAACTGCAGGCTGAACATGAGCCAGCAGTGTGATGTGGTGGTCAAGAGGGAGAATGCCACCCTCGGTTGCATAGGCAGAAGCATGGCTTCCAGATCGAGAGAAGTATTACTACCACTCTATACGACCCTGGTGTGCCCACAACCGGAGTATTGTGTTCAGTTCTGGGCTTCACATTACCGGAAGGCTATAGCCAGGTTAGAGTCAGTGCAGCGCAGGGCCACAAGGTCGGTGGCCAGTTTGCAGGGAAAGCTGTATGAGGTGAGACTGAGGGAACTGGGTCTCTTCAGCCTGGAGGAGACTTCGAGGGGACCTGTTGGTGACATACAGGTACATGAGGGGGTGTCATATGGAGGTAGGTAGGGACTTGTTCTCCCCTGCAGAGGAGGGCAGGACACACTCCAACAGAGCGAAGCTCAGGGAACCAAGGTTCAATTTACATGCCAGGAAGCACTTCCTGACAGTGGTGAGGCCCCATCGGTGAGGGTGTTCAAGGATAGACTGGACATGCACATGGTAGGCATGTCATGAGCGAAGCCAGCTGGAGGTCGAGTCAGGGTAGATGATCCGGGATGCCCTTTGCTCTGCCCACTTTCCCGGGACCACTTTGCACTTGCCCCCTCCTGGTCCTGCAGGGAAGCAGCGCTTGCCAATTTGCTGCACAGACGTCCTGCACCCTTTCCCTCTGCTGGCCAGCCTGGGAACCGGCCTCTCTGCCATGTAAACCCTTCCCGTGATCTGGAAGGCTCAAGGCTTTGAGGGTGCACATCACTCCAGTGCTGCAAGATTCGCCCTGGTTACCAGTTGCCACCCAGGCCCAGTCCAAGGTGCGTGTTAACACATAAAGCCCTATGGGCTTAGGCCTCAGCTACCTGGAGGACTGACTCCTCCCATATGAACCTGCCCATCCCTTAAGATCAGGCCAAGAGGCCCTCTGCAAGGGTCATCCCTCAAAGAGGTAAGAGGGATGGCAAATAGGTGAGGGCCTTCTCGGCTGGAACAGCCTCCCCCCAGATGTTGACCTGGCACCGCCTCTCTTACTGTTTCAGTGCCAGGCAAAAATGTTTCTTTTGAATCTTTTTCTTAGCAACTGATCCTGCCCTCTCTTGCACGGCTCGCTTTGATGTTACTAGTCAGGTCTTCATTTGGATAATGAAGCTTTTATTCTCTATTTATTGTTCAATGTATTTTTACCTTATATTGTAAGATGTTCTACTAAGAAGCCAAGATGCACAAGGGTGGTACGTACAGCTGGCGGACCAGACTTGGCAGAGCGCCTCATCCACGTCCTCAGGCCTCAAAAGCCAAAGCTCATCCAGGAAAACTGGTCCGGATATTCTGGTCCTGTTCCTATTTTGCTGAAGTTCAGATGGCACAACAAGCCAGCAGGGGTCAAACAACCCATGGTCCCCCTCCAACTGTAGGAGTCTAGGTTTCTTGAAAGAGAAGCCTTGGATGGCAACAGTGGCTTGTAAGCCACGAACAGGCCAGCAGGACAGGCCTGTCTGGGGTTCCCATGACAAGCCACTGCACAGCAAAAGCCACGGGGGTTGCCTTGCGAGTGCGGCCCCAGGCCAAGCCACTCCATCACCCCCCAGTCACAAAGCCAGCACTTTCCTTTACAAGGGATTTCCCATTTCCAGGGAAGCTAGGCAGAAAGGCGTTGAGCAGAGGATAACGTGCTGCACTGGAGAGTTAAGGCGCTGCAGAGGCTATTTGTTTAATTGATTATTTAATTTCTACCCTGCCTGTTAGCCAGAATGGCTCTACTGGGGAGAAAAACAGGTTTGAAAGTAAAAGCATGTTGCTGAAAGAAGAAAGAGATGAAAAAAGGACTTTGGAGATAAGGAATAAATATTGTTTTTATTTTAAAGAAAGGCAAAGCTGAGTCATTTTCATGAAGAGAGGAAGCTCTTGTTTGGAGCCAGGGCAGGGGAGAATACCGGGGCCAATGGATCAGACCACAGTCCCCTTCGAAGAGTGATAATTAATAAGGAATGAAACGAAGCTCTTCAGCAAACCAGGCTCTTTCCTCATGCCCAGCACCTGTGCTCAGCACCACTCGCTTGGGAAGTGGAGGAAGAAGCTGAGGACATCCAGTCAAGAGGATCTGGAGGAGCCGGAGAAAAGCTGCCGCAAAGGAGACTTGCAGGCAGTGGGACCAAAGTCTACATGGAAGCAGCTGATCTTCCTCCCAACAGCCTCTTTCTGCCCCCTCTAAAGGGATGCTGGGAGGCCACCCAGAAGGCCGCAGGCTGCCCAGGGCTCCAGGCATGCTTGCCCCAGGCATCCTTGGGCCAGGCAGGCAGGAAGAGCCAATCCTGGCCCTCAGCACCAAACAGGGAAAAGGGGGCGGAAGACTCTTTTATCGGCACCTGGCATTGTCTCCCTCTTCACATATCACAGGAGAGCACCATACCCATCCCTGAGGGCCCACGAGGTGTTCAGCCCAAGACCAGCCAGGCACCTGGCAAGATGCTCGCTCCAGAAACAGTTCTAGCTACCACTCGGGTTCACCATCTGCCCTGCATTTTACATTTGGTCTTTGTTTACATCCTCTCCTGCATATCAAGGCTTGCTTGGCCCACTCCTGCTTTCTGAGTATTTACACTCTTTCTCCTGGATCTCAATCCTTCATTAAGAAAGCTTTTCCCCTGATTCTACCTGCTTTGTTTTGAGGTTCATGGTGAGGGTGAAGCTTCTCCCTTGCACACATTGGTTGGTGGAAATTCAAGGCCTTGAAACACTCCGGCTGACACACTTTTCCCACACTGAGCATCGAAAGGGCTTTCCTGCTGGGTGGATCCTGTGAAGGATTCTAAGGCTCATGCTTCGCCTGGAATCCTCTCCGCATTCTGATCACTCAAATGGCTTCTTCCCATGGGTTCTCCAATGCCACTTCAGCTTGCAGCTCTGAATGAAGCCTTTTCCACTCTATGAGCGTTTATATGGTTTCTCCCCTGTAGCAATCCTTTGATGAGATTTAACTGACCATGCTTGGTGTAGCTCTTTCCATACTCTTGAGCATTTACGTGGCTACTCTGCTGTGTGATTTTATAAGGTGCTTTAAGCCCTCTACTATTGCTAGAAGCATTTCTGCATTCAGAAGATATAGAGGGACCTTCCCTGGTGTGGATATTTCAACAGTCTTTAAGGCTCTCACTCTGACTGAATCTCCTTCCATATACCGAGCACAGAAAGGGCTTCGTGCAGATTCTTCTGTGTGGTTTATGATTTTCGGGGAAAGAGCAACGCTTGTCATATTGAGCTTTCAAAGGGCTTCTCTCCTCTGGGAATTCTGTTATGCGAGTGAAGCAGTGCGCTGTAGCCAAAGCTCATTCCACATACCAACATTCAGCAGGCTTGTCTTGGGAACTCTCTGATGCTGTTTTAGCCGAACGCAATCAACGACGCTCTCCCCACATTCACCGCAAGTGCAGAGCTTTTCCCGGTGTGGATATTTTCATGCATCTTAAGGTTCCTGCTCTGAAACTCTTTCCACATGCTGAGCGCTGATGGGGCTTCTCCCCATGTGGATTCTTTGAGGAGTTTTAAGGTTTGAACTTGTATTTTTGTATTTAGTGGTAATTTATTATGTTCTATTTTATTTCAATGTATCTTATTGTGTTGTAAGCCGGCCCGAGGCTTCGGCAAGGGGCGGCATAGAAATGTTATAACAACAATAATAACTTCGCCTGAAGGGCCTTTCACATTCTGAGCATTCAAATAGCTTCTCACCCGAGTGAGTCCTTCGATGCTGCTTAAGGAGTCTGCTCCAAAGGAAGTTCTTTCTACGCTCTGAGCACCTTTTAAAGTTTCTTCCTTGTGGATTTGTCCATGTACACTAAAGCTTACGCCATGTTTGAAACTCTTGCCACCCACAGAGCATTCACATGGTTTATTTCGAGTGAATTCTTCGGTAAGATTTAAGAACTGAAAACAGAACGAAGCTTTTTCCACACTCCAAAATTTATAAGGCTTCCCCCCCATGTGAAACTTTCAATGCAATTTAAGTAGTCTATTCTCCCTGAAACTCTGCCTACACTCGAAGCATTTTAGGGCCTTTCAATTGTATGGACAGTTTCATGTGTTTATGGCTGTTTCTATGCAGGAAATTCTTGCAACACACTGAGCACTGATTGGACTTCTCTCCTCTGTGTATTTGTAGAGGGCTTCTAAGGCAATTGCTTTCACACTCTACGCATTTATACGGCTTCTCCCGTCTGTGAATGCTTTGATGTGAGTTAACATACTCACTCCAAGAAAAGCTCCTTCCACTGTCTAAGCATTTATACAGTTCCTCCACAACCCCGCGTGCATTCTCTGATGCCCTTCAAGCATTCCACAATCAAGGAAGTTCTTCTCACATTCACAGGAGGTGTGCAACTTTCTCCTGTGTGGTTACTTTTTCATACATACAAGGATATATATTCTTATATAGATAATAAAAACCAGAAAAAAAGAAGCTTCAAAAGACAAGGTTACTAAGGGACCACATACTAAGATTGCTAATACAACTAGGTACCTGATATTGCACAAAGAAACAATAAAGACTTGTTCATCTAAACTTGTATCTACAGTTTTACCTGATTATACATACTTACAGGTAGCCAATTCAGACCATTAATTTCCCGAAGAAGTCTGATAGATATCTTAAAACCAAATTACAATGAAAGATAATTTCCCCTTTCTCTTTTTTCTCTCCCCTCCTCTCCAGTATGGATAGTTGGATGTGCCTCAAGTGTCCAGCCCTGACTGAACCTCTCCACACACTTAGCATTGTGGCTCCCTCCTCGGTGGATGCCGAGATGGTTTCGAAGGTTTGTGCTCTCACTGAAGACCTTTCCACATTTGAAGCATTTGGATGACTGCTCGCCTGTGTGAGTTCATTGATGCAACTTTAAGCACCTGCTTTTGCTGAAGCTCTTTCTGCACAATGAACCCGGAAAGGGTTCCACCCCTGAATGGGCCCTTCCCAGTGAGTCATGGTCTGTGTTCCAGGCCAAGCTCTTTCCACACTCAGAGCATTTATATTGCTTCTTTCCACTGTGAATTCTTTGGTGCGAGTTAAGGTCTCCTTTCTGAGCAAAGCCCTTTCCACATTCTGAGCATTTAAATGGCTTCTCACCTGTGTGATTCTGTTGATGCAACTTAGCAGACTGAGAAGTTCTTTCCACAATTACTTTTTATGCAGCTTCTCCTCCATGTGGGATCTTTGATGGAATTCAAGAGATGCTTTCCAACTGAAGCACTTTCCACACGCTGAGCATTTAAATGGCTTCTCTCCTGTGTGAATCCGTTGATGCACCTTAAGGTAAGAGTTTGAGCTGAAGCTCTTTCCACATTCTGAACATTCATTTGCTCTCTCCCCAGTGTGAATTGTGTGATGCATTTTAAGGTCCGCGCTTTGAGCAAAGGTCATGCCACACTCTAAGCATTTATAGGGCTTCTCCCCTGTGTGGATTCTGAGATGCATTTTAAGATATGCACTCCTAGAGAAGGCCTTTCCACACTCGGAGCATTTATGGGGCTTCTCCCCAGTGTGAATTCTTCGATGTGAGTTAAGGACTCCTTTCTGAGCAAAGCTCTTGCCACACTCTAAGCATTTATATGGCTTCTCCCCTGTGTGGATTCTTTGATGTGATTTAAGTTCTCCTTTCTGAACGAAGCGCTTTCCACACTCTAAGCATTTATGCGGCTTCTCTCCAGTGTGTATTCTATGATGGATTTGAAAGTTCGAACGTTCACCAAAGGACTTTCCACACTCAGAGCATTTATAGGGCTTCTCCCCTGTGTGAATTCTGAGATGGATTTTAAGAGATGTACTCAGAAAGAAGCTCTTTTCACACTCTGAGCATTTATATGGCTTCTCCCCAGTGTGAATTCTTTGATGTAAGTTAAGTTCTCCTTTCCGACAAAACCCCTTTCCACACTCTAAGCATTTATATGGTTTCTCCCCAGTATGTATCCTGTGATGGATTTTAAGAGTTGAATTATCAGTAAAGGCCTTTCCACACTCTGAGCATTTATATGGCTTCTCTCCAGTGTGAATTCTGAGATGTGTTTTAAAAGATGTTCTCTGAAAGAAGCCCTTTCCACACTCAGAGCATTTATATGGCTTCTCCTCTGTGTGAATTCTTTGATGCCGTTTAAGGCTTTTGCAATCACGGAAGTTCTTCCCACATTCAGGGCAAGGGTAGGGCTTCCCCCCTGTGTGGATACTCTGTTGTCCTTTAAGATGTGCATTTTGACGGAAGCTCTTTCCACACACTGAGCCTCCTGTGTGGATTTGGCGATGTATTTTGAGGTTCCAGCTTTGATTGAAGCTCCTTCCACAGTCTGAGCATTTAAATGGCTTCTCACCAGTGTGAATTGCTTGATGCAACTTAAGACGAGAGTGCGAAGTGAAGCTCGTTCCACACTCCGAGCATTTATGCAGATTGTCTCCTGTGTGGAATCTTTGGTGCGTTTTAAGAGATCTTTTCCAACTGAAGCCCTTCCCACACTCTGAGCATTTAAATGGCTTCTGCCCTGTGTGCATTCCATTTTCTATGTTAGAGTCTGGCCTATGACAGAATTCCTTTGTAGACTTCAAGCATCTGAAGATCTTCCTTTCTTTGTGACTTCCAGGTTGTTTAGAAATGTGGACCTGTTGCCTCCTTTTGTCGTTGGAGTGATCCCGCGGTCTTTCCCCATTGCAAATACTGCTTCTGCCTCCTTGAGAAGGTGCTTGTTCCATTGGAACATCACAGACTTCTGACTGTTCAAAAGAAATGGACTCATCCCGCCAGTTTTCTTTGCCTGCCATCTCCTGTCCTTGATGTGTACCGTTTCTATTGCTCCCCCTGCAATCCGCTGAAAGAATAGAAACAAAAATATTCCTCAATAGACAGAAGAAACCCAGTGGGTTGCTGATTTGATCAAGAAGATCAAAAATGCCTGGGGAGGAGGCATTGCCTTGGCGTGGGTGTGTTTTCTTGGAGACATCCCACAACTCATATCCCTATTGGCTGCCAATAGAGATCTCATGACCCCAATCTTGCTCTACTGAGCACCAGGGCAGGCTGCCAAATGAGAGTCAGGGGGTGTTTATCAATGGCACAGTGGGAACACAGAATTGGAGGGCGGGAGAGGGAAGGCACAGGCAGGAGGCCCAGGGGGAGAAGCAGGCCAAGAAGTGGGGTTGGGTGGGAGAGAAGGGAAGGAGGAGAGCCCCTCCCTTTACTTTGCACTGGGAGAGCTCCCGGATCTCAGGCCGGCTCCCTGGGCACAAAGCCCCGCAAGGCTTCAACTGCATGATCACGCTTTTCTCTCTGGACACCCTCCCTTGCGTTGAATTGGATCTGCACTACTGCTGATTGGTGGGAGGCTGGGGACTAATCACCAGCCAGGGGAGACTCTCAGGGTGCTCCTGCTGGCTTGTGCCACTCTTTTACCTGGACCTACTTTTGTGTTGGGTTTGCAAAATGTGTGGTGCCAGTTTTCCCACAAAAAGACGACCAAGCTGTCCGTAACAGGCTTCTGAAGCTGCCAGATTCTGCTCTCTTATGTCTCCATCAAGAATGCAGTGAACCTCCTTAAATCTTCCCCTGGATGGCTACACCAGAGAGGAGCTCAAATATATTCCCACAAATGCGTGATATATGGAAGGTGAGTCTGGAAATTCACCATCCAGGATCTATCACAGAGGGAAAGAAGCAGCCCCATCTGGAGGGGCCGCGTTCCTCACCCAGAGAAGCCAGGATCTCCTCCGTGACCTCCCGGTGCAGAGACCTCTGGCCGGTGTCCAGCAGGGCCCACTCGTCCTCCGAGAAATGCACGGCCACCTCCTCGAGGCTCATCACACCCTGGAAAGAGGAAGCCATTCATCACCGCAGTGCAGGGAGACAGCGGTGGGGAGGGGGCTGGAGGGTACCCTGCGGGATCCGGGGCGCCACAAGTGATTCCGGAAGCCTCCAATCCTCCTCCTGGGATGGAAGCAAAGGCAAAGGGGCAGATTCTGCCAGGGCTGGGAGAGGGAGAAAGATGTTCAGGCTGCTCCTACCTTTTCTGCATGCAGGGATGGGGTCTCCACTCCACCACAAACCGAAGGAAGCCTCGAAGGAACACCCAGCATCAGTTCATTCTCTGTGCAGGTCATTCCCTTTCCTAATGATGGGAAAGAGATGGCCAGAGACCGTGTTCTTCAAACAGATTTTCTCTTAGTTTATTTACTTGAGGCATTCCTATTTAGTCAATGACTCTCAGGACAATTAACCAAATATTACAAATTTAAAATACAACATACAGCCAGAAGAGATCTAATGAATTACACTGTAAAACCAATAAAAGTATCACAATGATAGTAATAATAAACCAGAGTATCAAATAAACCTTGCCCAAAAAGGGGATGTTGCCCGCAGGCCTAGAGTTGTGGACATCCCCCGTATCCAGGGAAGTCCTGCCTTCTTTGGAGGGCTGGGACAAGGCCCTCCTTCAAAGGGGCATTTCTAATCTCCTGGTTCCAGGCACTAAGCCCATTCTTGGCCTGGATAATCAGTCAGGAAGAGCAAGGATCAAGCAGGCAGGTGGTACAGCAAATATCTCCAAGTATCTCGTCCCCATCCAGGCTTGCAATAATTGGAACTCATCCAGTAAAAGAGAACCAGATGGCACATTGGCTACCTCTGTTTTATGCACTGCATCAAACGTGGAGTCCAATGCATGACAAAGCCTAGTTGCATGAACAGAATCAAGCTTTTGCAGAACAAAACTGCTTTTCCTATGTTTTGGAGTGGCTACTAGAGAAGAATTTCCTCCCACGGGGCTGATAAAGGCCTCAATCATCCTTACCCAGTGAGGTGGCTTCTCTGGCACCCTCCGGCACAATCCTGCTGAACTGCAGCTCCAGTGCAGGATCCAGCAGAGCCTTCCCTGCTGCAGGGAACTCTGCGGCTGATGTGCCCGATATTTGCTGAGCCTGGAATTGCAATGCAGATCGCAGGTGAGGAAGGGCTGAAGGGATCAGGAAAGGAGAATGTGGTGCTGCAAGTGTCAGGCAGAACTTCCCAGCAGGTTCAGATCTCCTACTAGGGGTATTCTGCCTTAAAACCCTGCAGCACCCCAGGCTGCGTCTTGATCAGGAGAGCCTGGAAGGATCCGTGCATCAGGCTAAGAGCTCAGCCTGGTACAAGCAAAGGGCCACAACAGCCTCCTGCAACCAATCAGCTGGAGAGAGATGGTTGCTTTCTTCCTGCCACTTCCATACTGAACCTCTCCTCCTCAGGAACAGAAAAACCCACAGAAGTGTCCGTGGATCCTCCACAGGGGGTCCGTCCCACATTCAGAATTGCTGTCCATGTTGAAACTGGGACATCTCCAACTAGGCAGAGAGGCAGGAAAAGGGCAGCCACCAGGGGGGAGATTGGAAATTTCAGTGCCCTGGAGTTATCAGGATGCGATACACTCACCTGCTCCACTGCTGGCTCAGGAGGCATCCTTCAGCCAGGACCACCGCCTGGGAACTGGTCTCTGCGCCACACTCCCTCCCCAGCCCCCCAGCTGAGGAGGAAGGATGGCCGAGAACCGTTGCAGCATCACTAGGTCCATGCACCAGGGCCAAAAGCTGGACCCTGGCAGCAGCAAAGGACTAGAACAGCCTCCTGAAATCCACCAGCAGAGGAAGAACCTCTCAGAGCATCCTTGATCTGCAGCTCCCAGTGTGTGTTTGGTGCATGGAAAGGCTTTTCCTGTCATACCAGAGGGATTCTGCTGGGGTTGAAAAGAATCCCCTCCTGTTCTGGAACAGAACAAATGAACCCTCAGAAAGGAATGTAGATCCTCCAAAGAGGGCCTGGCCCAAACATATATCAGGGAGGCATGGGAAATTGGGATACCCATTCCTTGGGAGACAGGCATCAAAAATCAAGCCACTAGGAGGGCGTTGTAAAGTCATACCCCCTTGGAGTTCTCGGGAGGAAAAGCACTCACCTGTTCTTCTTCCTGCTTCCCCTCCTCTGCCCGGCTCAGCAGGGCGCCTTCGGCCAGGGCCACTGCCTGGGCACTGGTCTCTGCTCCGCACTCCCTCACCCACCTCTCCAGCTGTGGGGGAAGGATGGCCAGGAACCGCTCCAGGGTCACATGGTCCAGCAGCTGAGCCTTTGTGTGGCTTTCTGGCTGCAGCCACAGATGGCAGAGGCGGTGGAGGCGGCTGCAAACCGCTCGGGGCCCCTCGGCCTCCAGGTAGCCCAACTGCCTGAAGCGCTGGCACGTTGCGTCTGAGCTGGGGCTGCTCCCACCCACGTCCTCCTCCACGCCTCTTTCCCAGAGCTCTGTGCTGCTTCCTTGTGGGATTTCATGGAAGTCATTTCCTGCCTCACAGCCAGCCAAGACCTGTTCTTCCATCTTCACTCCATTCTCCATTTCTGCTCTCAACATCTCCTTGCTCTGTTGCTGGGTCTTTGCTGAGAAAGACTGCAGGGAGGAAGGAAACCAGAGATACACCCGTGGCCAACCCCACCCAAGACCCCATTTCAACCATTGCCCCAAAAGCCCTGGCTCACAAGAAACAAGCATTTGGTTACCACTCACTTCGAGCATATGCACCACCTGCACCTCTGGTAGGTAAACACATCCTCGTTTACTCTGAGTGAGGAATTAAGAATGCCCACCTCCACGGCATCTGGCCACGGGACCCTCTCCAGCATGCTGGTCACAACATGGCCAGCCTCAGGGTTGAACTTGGGGGTGGTCCTGAAGGTCAGTGCCCACTTCCAGCTCTACTTTCCTATTCCTGTGGAAAACCCACACAGATGCTGCGTGTCCAACAGCCTCCTTCCACCCATGGTTGCCAAGTGGTGTACCCTAGCATACTGCCTCTGAGCATGTGGACTGCAAGGAGTCTCAAGGCCTACTAGCCATGCAAAGTCTTCTCTTTCCTGATTTACTCCCATCCCTGTTAAATGTGTCTGCAGTGTGGGCCACCATCCATGACTTCCTGTGGGAGAGAATTCCATAGGCTAACTATCCATTGGGATATGTGTCCAACAAGGGCTCAACAGTAGAAATGATCAGGGGCCTAGAGCAGTTCCCTGATGTGGAATGGGTCAGTTCAGATTAGAAAAAGATAAGTCAGGAAGACTGGATAGGGATGTTGAAAATAATGGATAGTATGGAGAAAGAAGGCAGGGAGACAATTTTCTTCCTCTTCCATAACACTCAAACCCCAAATAATCCCATGAAGCTGATCCGGGTGAGGTTTAGGACAGACAAAAGGAATTCCTTCTTGGAATAACATACAGCTGAAATCCAGAATTGGCTGTCAGCAAGTCCTGCTCGCCATCAATTTGGATGGCTTGAACTGGGGACTGAACAGAGTCATGAGGGAGGAGGCCATCGGTGGCTGCCTGCCCAGCCGGCTGAGTGCTGCCTCCTTGACCATGTTCACACACACCAGTTGCTGAGGAGCCTGGGCAGAAGGAGGTCTTGCACTGATTCTGCCTGAGGGATCCTTGGGGAAACTGCTTTGCCACCTTGAGTGTGGACTGCTAGACCTTAGATCTGTCTCGAGTCTCACACTCATCACTTTCTGGGATGACTCCTTTGGGCCCTGGATTAAAGGAAAGGGGAGAAAGGTCTCCCTCCCCATTTCTTTCTCCACCCCTAGAATCGTCTTGAATATCCCAATCCGGGCTCTCCTTCCTGCAACTCATCCGCCTTGTGGCGAACTTTCACAGAGGAATGCAAGGGCTGGGCCATTTGCTAAGTATTCTTGCAGCATGCAGAGGATCCCCAGGACCACCACCCCCCCCCCCCCCCCCCCCGAGCCTTGTCCTCTAGGCCCTTCACGGACCGTTTCCTGGCCTTGGGGAGGAGCAAGACAAGTGTCTTCTTCAGGGTCCGCCGGGTAGGGCCTGCCTCCTCCTCCTCCTCCTCCTCTCCGTAAAGTTGCCCCCCCCTCGCCCGCAGGAGACCTGATTCTGAACGCGCGTGTCCCTCCTCCCACGAAAGCGCCCGAGGCGTCGCCGCCTTCCTCGGAGGCCTTCCCCGCCTGCCAAGCGTCCTGGAGGCAGGCACAGGGCTCCCCACTGCTCTCCCCTCCCGGACCCACGTACCGTTTGCCAGCGAGCCCCCGGGCCAGGATTCCCGCGGGGGACCAAAGACGAGGGTCTCCCGCTGGGCCCGAGGCCGCCGCAAAGGCTGCTCCCCGCCTGGGACCCTTCGAGCTCGCGCCCGCCGGGACCTCGCCAGGGGTTCCCTCCACCCCACTCGCTGGAAGCCGCGCCTGCGCATTGCGCGGGAAGGTTGCTGGGAGCGCTGCCCGGTCGTCTTGGGAACCGAGGCGCTTTCCAGCCACTCTAGGAACGCGCCTCTCTCTCGCCTTAACCCTTCTCCTGCATCTCCGCGGAGACGCTGTGCCGCGCGTGCTGCAGCGGGGCCCTTCCCGGCCGCGGGCGGGGGCGGTGCCGGTGCCGGTGCCGGGAGGGGCGAGCTCTCCGCCCCGCTGCCCCGCCAGCTCCTGGGTACCGTCCCTGCGGGCGCACAGCCGGGCGCGGCGGAGAACTACGGGGCCGGTCCTGGCGCAGGCGGTGCGCCGCCGCGCTGCCAGAGGCCCCGCCTCGCGGGCGGGAGGCCCGTGGCCGCTCGGGGCAGAAGCAGCCCGGACACGCCGCGCGCGGCGGGGGAGCCTCGCAGGGCCTCCCGGGCTCCGCGCCCTGCATGCTCGCACAGGCCCGGCCCTGCGAGGCCCGGCGGGGCCTCTGCTGCTCCGCTGGCGCCCGGGCGGGGAGCCCCCTGCAGCCGCTCTCCGGCCCGCGCTGAGCGGGACTGTCAGGGCAAGGCGCTTTGCGGTGCGGCCCTTCAATGGGTCTCCCCTACATGTGACGCCCACAGAAGCACTGGCCTGTGGGGGCTGCCCTCCGTCCACCCCCCGCCCACTTTTTAAGCAAGGTCCCCTTACGATAATTCCACTGTGGGGCGGGAGTAAGTGCCCGATCTCCGGTGGTCAGACTGTGCGACTGGGGGCCAGGGCGATGGGGGTTCTGCTCCCCTCTCAGCCATGGGGCTCCCCGGGTGGCTGGGGGCCAGTCCCTCGCCCGTGTCCGACCTACCTCACAGGGCTGGTGTTGCGAGCACAAAATGGAGCTGTGCGATCCACCCTCGGTTCCTCACCGTTGGGAAGAATGCCGGCGGTAATGCACCCTCCCCACCTGACAGGCTTTTTCAGGAGTCAAGCTGGGGGGGTGTCAGCGCATAGGAATGCGTTTAGCGTGCATCGGAAGCGAAGGCACACAGCTGGATTCTCAGCTACCAGGTCTGCGCTTTAAGGGGTTCGCTTGAGCATATGAGTTTGTGTCCAAAAATCCAATGTTTACTGGGCCCGTTTGCCCCTTATTTGCCTTCAAGCTGCCGTGCTCCGCCTTCCATTTTACAGTCCTGGCAACAGGCGATCAAGCAAACCTTCTCCCCATCCCTGTGTCTAGTTACAAATGCGAAGGCAGAAAAAGGACAGATTAGCGGCATGCAGAGGGAGGACGAAATCAATCCATCGTCAAAAGTCCTCCATTTAGAAAGTGACAGATTCTGCATGAATAAAACATCTTTGAAAGCCCCCCCCCGCTCCCCTTTACAGTTGCACTTTACGAAGCTCAGTCCAGGTGCTTTTGGGACAGTTCTTACTAGATGGACAAATTCTGCACGCCTTGGGCAGTGCTGTGGCCCCCCTAGAGCCAGCCAAACGGGAAAGCCCTCAACAGAGTTCCCTTTTTGTTTACGAAAAAGATTCATCATCCATTGTCAGGCGAAGTTGAGAGTCCCAGTTTTAGAAGAGGTAGTTGTCTAGTTGGTCATTTCCACTGGCTAGTGAGATTTTAGCATCTAGAGGGAATTCAAAGAGCAGCCAGGCTCTTGCATCTTTGGTCCCCACCTTTTCTTGACTGCCTGTCATACTTGCAAGAGTTTAGAACAGGGGTCCTCAAACTTTTTGAACGGGGGGCCAGTGGAAAGGGAATGGCGGCGGGCACATGCCAATGAGGCGGGGGTGCCCACGGGCGCAGGCCAGTGAGGCGGTGGTGGGCACGCATGCGGCGAGGCAGAGGTGGGCACGCATGGCGAGGCGGTGGCTTGCTTGCTCGGAAATTATTTTCTCCGAGCAAGTCCAAAACGATCCCCAAGGGAGCAAGCCACCACCTTGCCGCACGCAGTGAGAAAGTGGTGGGCAGCAGGCGCGGGTGCAGGGAGTCCAAAACCTCTTGAGGCGGGCCAGATAAATGGGCACGGCGGGCTGGATCCAGCCCACAGGCCATAGTTTGAGGACCCATGGTTTTGAAGGATCCTTTGGGGAAGAAAGGTTTGGGGGCGCTTCTGGGACAGAGCAACATTTCTCAAATAATGACAGCTCCGACTGAAGCTCTTTCCACCCTATGAGCATTTATAGGATTTCTCCCCTGAATCAATTCTTTGATGTGCTTTAAGCTTTGAGCTATTAGGTCAGCTCTTTGCACACTCTAAATGTTTATATGGCTACTCTGCTATGTGTCTTTGATGAGTCTTAAGCCCCCTGTGGCCCTTCATGGATCACTACCTTGACGTGGCGAAGGGGCTTGTATAGCTCAATGAAGCTATGAGCTATGCCATGCAGGGACACCCAAGACGGACAGGTCATAGCAGAGAGCTCTGACAAAACATGATCCACTGTAGAAGGAAAGGGCAATCCACTCCAGTATCCTTGCCATGAAAACCCCATGGACAGTACCAAAAGGCAAAAAGATACGATTCCGGAAGATGAGCCCCTCAGTTCGGAAGGTGTCCAGTGTCCTTAAAGGACATTTTCAGCATTGTCAAAGCTGAAAGGACACTCAGTGGTGGATGTATCTGGTGGTGAAAGGAAAGTCCGATGCTGTAAAGAACATTACAGCATAGGGACCTGGAATGTAAGATCTATGAATCAAGGTAAACTGGACATGGTCAAACAAGAGGTGCTAAGACTGAACATCGACATCTTGGGAATCAGCAAAATAAAATGGACAGGAATGGGTGAATTTAATTCAGATGACCATCAGGTATACTACTGCGGGCAAGAATCCCTCAGAAGAAATGGAGTAGCCTTCATAGTCAATAAAAGAGTAGGAAAAGCAGTACTGGGATACAATCTCCAAAATGACAGAATGATCTCAGTTCGAATCCAAGGCAAACCATTCAACATCACAGTAGTCCAAGTCTATGCCCCAACCACTGGTGCTGAAGTTAACCGATTCTATGAGACCTACAGCACCTTCTAAAAATAACACCAAAAATGATGTCCTTATCATCATGGGGGATTGGAATGCTAAAGGAGGAAGCCAAAAGATAACTGGAATAACAGGCAAGTTTGACCTTGGACTACAAAATGAAGCAGGGCAAGGCTGGCAGAATTTTGTCAAGAGAATACGATGGTCATAGCTAACACTCTTTTCCAACAACCCAAGAGACGACTCTACACATGGACATCACCAGACGGTCAACACAGAAATCAGATTGGCTATGTGCTCTGCAGCCAAAAATGGAGAAGCTCTATACAGTCAGTAAAAACAAGACCAGGAGCTGACTGTGGCTCAGATCATGAGCTTCTCGTTGCAAAATTTAGGCTTAAATTGAAGAAAGTAGGGAAAAGCACTAGGCCACTCAGGTATGACCCAAATCATATCCCAAATGAAAATACAGTAGAGGTGACAAATAGATTTAAGGAATTAGATCTGATAGACAGAGTGCCTGAAGAACTATGGACGGAGGTTCACAACATTGTACAAGAGGTTGCATCTAAAATCATCCCAAAGAAAAAGAATTGCAAGAGAGCAAAATGGCTGTCTGAGGAAGCTTTACAAATAGCTGAGGAAAGAAGGGAAGCGAAAGGCAAGGGAGAAAGAGAAGGATACACCCAGCTGAATGCAGAATTCCAGAGAATAGCTAGAAGAAATAAAAATGCCTTCTTAAATGAACAGTGCAAAGAAACAGAAGAAAACAATAGAATAGGACGAGAGATCTCTTCAAGAAAGTTGGAGGGAATGTTTCATGCAAAGATGGGCATGATAAAGGACCAAAATGGCAGGGACCTAACAGAGGCAGAAGAGACTAAGAAGAGGTGGCAAGATTACACAGAAGAACTATACAAGAAAGAGCTTAATGTCCCCGATAATCACAATGGGGTTGTCACTGACCTTGAGCCAGACATCCTGGAATGTGAAGTCAAATGGGCCTTAGGAAGTCTGAGCAACAACAAAGCTAGTGGAGGAGACAGTATTCCAGCTGAGCTATTCAAAATCTTAAAAGACGATGCAGTAAAAGTGCTACAATCAATATTGTTCTGCCCAAGATCCCCCTGGGGCTGGTGTCAGACAGAAATTGAACCTGAGCCTGTTTTCTGCATCCTCTCGCACTCGTTGCAGAAGAGCCCCATAAACAAGCTGCAAAGAAGTCTTGGGGGACCCTGTTCAGTGGGGTGAAGAGTGGAGGGATCCACGCAGGGGCCGCAAATCCCACACATCCCCTGGGCTCTGCCCCCAGGATCCCGGCTCTCTCTGCCACAGCCCCGGATACGAGTCCCTGGCTGGCTGGCCGGCCCACCATTCAGAGGACACTTTCCCGGAATTGAGCCCCAACCCTGCACAAGCCTCTTTCCTGCCATGTGCAGTTGGACCTTGTGTGGAAGGAGGTGGCCAGCAGTGCAGTCTTCATCCTGCGCTTCCTCTTGGACAGCTCAGCTCACTTGGAATCACATTTCGCAATGCCTCTTGCAACCACAAATTGCCTGGACAGCATGAGCAACATCTGGGGCCGGCCTCTGAGTGCCGCCTTCAAGGGAGTCTCCGTCCGTGGGGAGAAGGGGTTTCTCCAGGCATGCTCACAACTGCCACGCGATGCACAGGAAATGAGGGGGACCACTCTCCTTCCCACGTCTGGGATCGTCCCCCTCCTCCTTGCCTCGTCCACATTCACCACAGGGCAGAGACAGAGATGAGCCAGTCAATAGTGTAACATTTAATGAGAAACTTTTGGAACAGAATCGAGAATAGGAACAAACGCAGTGCTCCGAGAATTCAAGAAAGACCCCCAGTCTAGTGACAGTCTCCAATCTAGAGGGACGCTGGCTCATGGAGGGGCCCTCATCAGCTCTGTGCACTCCCAAAT